ATACATAGGAGGTGCTATAGGAATAATATTTTGGCAAAAGCTCATTTTAGCTTTTCACTTAATCAAGTTTTTGTCCTTTATTTTATTTTATGTTATAACATTTTTAACCCTTTATTTTATTAAATTTATAAGTTTTAACCCTTCACCTTATATTAGGATATTTTTAACCTCTCATTTATTAAAATTAAAGAAAATAACTCTCATTTTGTAACATTTTGTTAGTTCTGATAACTGATTATTAATTATATTAGTTGACTATTGATTGATTGTTAACTGTCAAAAACTTTCTTTTAACTAACAGAGTTAACAGAATTAACTTTATAATATTTTATTGATTCTATTAATTAACTATTAGTTGATTATTAGTTGATAAAAATCTACTTTTAGCATCAACTCTTATCAACTAATAGAGTTAACAATCAGTATAAAGTGAGGGTTATTTTTTTCAATTTTAATAAGTGAATGACTAAAACTTATAAATCTAATAAGGTGAGAAACTAAAAATGTTATAGTATAAAGTAAGGGTTAAAACCTTCAAACTTAATAAGTTAAATAGCTAAAAGTAAGTTTTTGTTTAATATTTTTATCTCTTGATACAACTTTCACATGTTATTAAATAAATGAATATATTTAATATCACGAGTCTCATATGAATTAAAAAATTAATTATTTAAATAACATATCAAATTATACCAAAAAATAATATAAAAAAACCATCCCAAAATCATTTCTCTACTGTATACAGCTTTCTTTTGTACAATTTAATTTTTTTGTGGAATTATCTGATTAATTTATCAAAATTCAAAACTACGTAGTTAATAAGGTTCCTTAAAATAGAGAACATAAATAATACAACAAACTGCGAAGATAATGATAACGACGTCAAAGGTGAGTGCCGTCATCGCCTGGTCACTCAGCTTCATGTTCCTTCCGCCCAGACGATCCACCATATCTGGAGTCGACTTGTAATTCCTAATCGCTTGGTGGTATGGATCCTCCAACCTCATCCTCATCTTCTCCGCTTTCCGACTCGCCGCCTCCTGAGCCAGCGTCCAGTCGTAAAACCTCCGGCTCTCCTCCTTGCTCAGAACATCGTAAATCTCTCTCAACTTCATGAATTTCTCCGATGCCGCCTTCAGCGGAAGCGACGTCGTGTCAGGATGGTACTCTTTTGATAACCTCCTGTACGCCGCCTTGATTTCCTCCATATCTGCTTCCGGCGGTACTCCTAAGAACCTGATCCAACGCCAAATTGAAATTAAATTGAAATTAATTCAAGATTCGTTAAATTTGAAACCCGATCTAAATCAAGATTTCGTTAGGGATGCTCACTGGTAGTGAGAATTGGATGAATCGTTGAGGAGATCGGCGAATTTCTCGCCTAAGAGATTTTTCTGCTCTTCCTCTGCATCGAGTTTTTCTTTCTGCGAGCCCGCCGTCCCTCCGATCCATCCTTCATCTTCGTTTTCCCAGTGAATCCTCGTGTCGACTCCCGGCGGCGCTCTCTCGCCTTTGTACGGTCCTTGCGACGCGAAGATGCGCAGAGTGTTGAGGCTTGTTCTTCTACTTCCACCAGCTCCTAGTTTTCTCACTCTGTGCTCTCCTAGTGTGTTGGAGCTGCCGTCTTGAGGCCGGAGTAAGAAAGAGCACGAAGCTTGAAGAGCGGCGGTGGACGCCATGAGAAGGACCAAAGTGTGATCGGATTTTAGGTTTTTGAAGTTGAGAAGAATGAAGCTTTCATTGCCACAAGTTTCTGTGGTTCAGTTCAGAGATGAAAATGTGGGCCTGGAATTGGATTGTCTGTGGCTTGAAAAATTGAAAATCCCGCTCATCTAAAATGGGCTGCCGCCACATATCTCAACATTTGTTAAAAATGTTGAATTTAACCCCTCATATCTCATTGGGTTCAATTAAGTCCTTCAAATTTCACTAACAATTTATATTAATATTCCTATTAATTTTTTTTTTATCAAATAACTATTACTAGTACCAATGAGGAAAGTCTTTAAGGTAATTAGTCAAATTATTGACATAAAGTACTTC